TCCAATCATCCTCCCCGTAGCCAAGTCCTGCAAGACACAGAAAGTGGGAAACAAAATAGTGCAACAATTTAAGGAGTAAGTAACTTGACTGGCAAATATGAGATTTAAGTGAAAAGAAGGAACACATAAAACATTGTCTAATGTAATGTCTGAATTGAATGGTATGGTGTCTGTGGAAGTAATTGTGGCTGAAGAACCAGTGGGTAATTTAACAGTGGATATTGGTGAAGATTTAGTTTTGGTAAAAGTGAAGAATCTGATGTGATGTGATTGGTAGCCCCACTTTCCAAAATCCAAGGTTGAGTAAATAAAAAATTAACGGAGGCAACAGTAAAATATGACAGACCTACAACATTTGCATAAGCATTGTTATTACAAGAATGAGGATTTAAATTCATCAGGGACACAACATGGGCCAATTGTTGAAGTTGTTCCGTTGAGAGGCCTTGCAATGGGTTATGTGGAGGTTGCTGGGCACTCTGTCCGTGCGCCAAATTGGATGGGATAGAGGCTGCAGTTGCTGCATTTGTAGCAGAGTAGGAACCATTAGCTGCTGCATGGGCAACATGGAAACCATGGAAATTTTGAGATGCATCATATGGGTTGGTGTTGCCTTGAGACCCACTCGAAGATTTGTTGTTGCCTTGATTTCCTCCATTTGTTCCATTTTTAAATCCACATCTGTCTTCGGTGTGACCTCGTTTATCACAGAACTTGCAATGGTACTTTCGAGTCCTACAATTGTCAATTGCATGACCGTCTTTATCACAGTATTCACAGTGAAGATTTTTAGAATTGTTGGAAGAATGGTTTGGTAGATTTTGAACAGTAGAGAAGGGAACATTCGTTGTGTTTCGAAGTAACGAAGGGCAATGGTGTCCATGATAAAATTGCATCATTTATTTTTCATTCCTGGTCGGAGAAGCACATGTCTAACTCTCAAAGGCTTTAAGCTTTGGGCAAGACTATCATGGTGCCCTGAGAGATAATGGAATCTTTGATAATTCGTTCTTTTGTAAAACTGATATTAAAATCTTCCCATACTTGTTGGGACACATGTTGGCCATGAACAACTCCTTCCTTTGGAAAGATCACCCTCCACAGATTGAGCGAACCATGATAAAATCATATATTGATTCTAGAGAGCATATTCTTTTGTTGATCTGTTGCTGAGGGGGCTAAATGGAGCCATCAACAAAAACCATTTTGTCTTGGCGGTTCAGAATCATGTATGAAGATGATAAGTTGGATCCATTAATCAACCTTAAATGTTCACTGTTGTGAATGAAACCATTTATGGGTTTGTAAATACTAAGATGTTATCACAGTGCCATAGATGTTAACATGATAATGCAGAATCGGTATTTAGTTGGAATATTTGGCATAATGGACTTATATTTGAGTTGGCGATGTTGGATTCTGATTATTCCCCTGTAAATCTGAGGATTACTCTGAAAAATTACTCAAACCAAATCTGCGTTTTGTGGCAGCTTGAAGTCATGGAGTAACACTCATACTGTTAGGAATAAGATTGACGATAGAACCAACCAAGGTTTAGAGACTTCATAACCTGAATGCTTAAAATTGAATGAAATCATTAATTGTAGAATCAGGATTCTAGAGGTTGAGTCATATTCTTAATTGTAACGATGATCTGTGCATTAACTGTTAGTGCTCTTGATCGGAACGCAGCATACAATTCTGGCAGACCTAATAACAAATACCAAAATTCTCTGAGATAATATTTACAGGCGATAGAAAACTAAATTATGAAATCAGTTCGATACTTCATATCTATCATAAATGAATGTTTCGATGTCCAGTTAAGTTTTCAGAAGTTACCAATGTGACACGAATTAGGATTTACTGGAACCTTCATTTAACTAAATGGCTATGAAATTTCAGTCTACGTTAATTCTTTTGGGGAATGAAGTAAAGGAATTTGGGTAAATTGGTTGTCGAATTTTAGCGTAGTTATTTGGTCAAATAATAGGTGATTAGGTAAATCTTTACAACCCAATTTTTAGTTTATTATTGGTCCATTAGGATAGTAATTTATGTAGCAAATGAACATTTATCCTGGATCCATGTTAGTCGCATTTTAAAGTTGAACAATGTAATCTTTCTAAGCTTTTATGATAAGATCAAAACATATCTTCAAAGGGAGGTACAAATGATTTTAACAGCTTAATTTAAAAAAACCCCATAAATCATCCTTAGTCCAAGTCTATTCCCATGTAACTGCCAAAAATCTGTCCTTAACCTCTGAAAATTATCTTTGATTCTTATGAATTGGCCATTAAATTAATCTGTCAAAAATTCTGTTAATCAATAAAAAGGCAGAATTAGGATTAACAAATGTTGCATATCATTTATGAAAAATACAAATTAAATCCTTTTAAATTCAAAATCGTGGCTTAAAAAAAAAGATAAAAAAACTTAACCAAACAATTTAGAAAAGGAAAAAAGAAACGTATTAATTACGTTATAAGAATTATAACTTCATTACCATCGTCCTGGAAATTCGTATCCGCTTCGGATCATCAATCCAAAATTCCGCACGACAAACCTCCCACAGTGCTAACCACAGGATAAATATTTTTGCCATTAAGTCTAACATATTCAATTTTCCGTTCATTGCACAATCCACATTTCTTGTTTGCAATCCGGACTAAACCATTAAGCACATCCTGCCGCTTGCACCACGAAATTCCATCATCAGAATTTAATTAAATTAGTGTGGTGAATTTGAATTTTAATTGTTTTACTATGGAATCGTCCAATTTCACGTTTCCTAAATTTGGAATGTTAAATCATTGGAGTGTCTCTCACAGGTGCTGACTAATTGCCTATTACGGATCACCATGCTCCCACGCTACCCCCAAGATCTACCCAATCAACTTCCGAGCGAACTGAATCAAGGTATGAGATAGCCATCCAGGACCGGAGTTGGAATCGCATTGTCTGCCCTTGTTGGATTCTTCTTAGTACACATCCCACACGCCTCTAATCCATCTTTCATACAACTTGTACCCATTTTAGATATTTATTAGGAAAATGAAGCTCAAATTGGAGGAGAGGTGGAGGTGACGGAGCCTTGGCTTTGGGGAGGGAAGTGGCTGGTGAATGTCTAGGTCTCCGTCTGTGTTCTTGGTGGGAGAGAAGATGGATGTTTGGGTATTGGTTATGTCGAGATTTTAGCTATTTGTTATGTCAAATAGCATAAGTGTTTTACAATTGGTTGTAGTAAGTTTATATGATGTAGGACAAGAAGGGGGTATTTATCTAGGATCCATGTATCGCATTTATGTTGCACACATGTAACTCTTGCTAGCTGTTTATGAGTAAGATCAAAACCATATCTCCAAGGGAGGTAGCAAATGTTATTTTAAAGGCTTATTTACACCAACACCCCATAAAACTCAGCCTTAGTCATACTTTGCCCCATGTAACTCAAAAAACGTGTCACTTAACCCCCTGAAAATTATCTTTGATTCTCACTTTGCCCCATTCCATTATATCTGTCAAAACTTCTGTTACATCATGTGACGTGGCAAATGTAGGGCCCATTAACTAAAGGTGTTAGCCATATCATTGCCACATATACAAATATAATACTTTTAACATTAAAACTCGATGCTGATAAAAAAAATAAAAAAAAACATTAAAAAACAATTTAGAAAGGAAAAAAAAAACTAAAACTGAGAGAAAACTTTCACTACCATCGCCACCTGCTCCCCATCGCTACCAAAACCCCACAAACTCCACTCCTACCATCAAATTTGCTTATTTCATATCAATTTTGTAACTCCATCACCATAACCACATACGTTGCTCCGCATAACCATCCCTAGCAACATCGCCGCTGCAACCCAACCACATCAAATACCCAGAAAAATGATGGTGTAATTATTCTTATTGTTTTACTTGTTTCTATTTTTCTTTCAAATTTAAAATATTAAATACTATGAAAGTTGTACATGTGGCAATGACATAGCCAACACGTCAGCCAATTAATGGGCTCCACATTTTCCACGTCACGTGATTTAATAGAATTTTTTACCGAGGTAATGGAATGGGGCAAAGTGAGAAGCAAAGACAACTTTCATGGGGTTAAGTGATACGTTTTGAGTTACAAGGGGCAAAGTAAGACTAAAGTTGAGTTTCATGGGGACGTTGGTGTAAATAAGCCTATTTTAAAAGTGTCTTTTGCTAACATATGTCGTATGTGTTATTCTTAAAATTTCACTAGAAGGCCAACGTCATTCAATGTTTGGGACTCAATGGCATAACTTCAAATTTTAGTTAAATATATGGATACAAATGATGATGAAATTTTGGCATAATCAAAATCCAACATATTAAAAAACTAAATGAGGCAAAAAAAAGTTCATTTGTATCAATTCAAATGAAAGCAAATAAAAGCAAATTCCCATTTATCTCTCATCAAGGTTTAAAGGTTTTAGCCAAAAAAGAGGGAAACAGTTGTTCAACCATCAATGTATGCCAACAGGTGATTAGGCAAGGCGAGAGCTGATGTCCCTAGGTAGAAGAGGGCATGATGTAGATTTTAAAAACCAGCTCAAAATGATGATGTTTTGGGACTGGGATTGTTTGAAAAATCATATAGCGTGAAGACTGCGCTTTGTGTGGAAAGAAAATGTCCAGCGTAATGCACCTTAGGGAAAATTTCCCATGCCTTGTCGAAAAGCACACCTCAAGGAGTGTTTATGAATGAACATATATTATTTGATTATTTACCAATTGTTTCTCATGAGCTCAGCCATAGCCGGTTCTCACGTTTTTTTGGCCTGGCTTACAGGGGTGTTATTTCAAAGTACACCATACAGAACTTTGAAAAATAAAATAAGAATGATTGATATTTTACTTTTCCTTGTGATGGATGGAGTTACTAAGAAATGATTGGTTATTCTTCAGGTATAATTAGGGATGCAAGTTTTGAGTATTTTCTTTTTACATCTTGCTATGTCTGAATGCTATAATTTTGGACCTAAATTGAACAGGGACTTGGCTTGTTGACCCTGTCAGCCGTGCTTTCTTCTTCTGAGATCCAAGTAATATTCTTCTTCTTCTCCCTGTATCTAGTAGCTGTTGCACAAGGCGGACACAAGCCTTGTGTTCAGGCATTTGGAGCTGATCAGTTCGATGTCTCAGATCCAGAGGAGTGCAAAGCCAAAAGCTCATTCTTCAATTGGTGGTATTTTGGGTTGTGTGCAGGTACGTCCGTGACGCTTATCCTATTGACCTACATACAGGACAACCTGAGTTGGGGTCTGGGTTTTGGAATTCCTTGTATTGCAATGGTCTTTGCACTGTTAATTTTCCTGCTTGGAACTAGAACTTATCGGTACAGCATTAAAGGGGATGAAGAAAGTCCTTTTGTAAGAATTGGAAGGGTGTTTGTTGCTGCTTTAAGGAACTGGCGAACTTCTCCCTCAGCAGTAACTTCTGAAGAGGAATCTCGCGGAATCTTGCCTCACGAGAGTTCTGAACAATTCAAGTAAGAGAGTTAACTGTCGGCATATTTTTAGTTTAAAAAGGAGGGAGAAACTGGCAACGAGAAAGTTTGATATTATTTTAGATTAAAAAGGAGGGAGAAACTGTCTTCATGACTCTTTCAGTAACCTATCCTGCGAAAGAAATTCGTGAAAGACAAGTATTCATATATTGTTATAATCTCTTGCATGGCCACTTAAGTCTATCAATTTTAATTTCAGTTAACCTTAACTAGTTTGAATAAATTGAGTATAAAAAGTGGCATTTGCAGCACCTTTTTTTCTAAGGAAAACTAATGAAAAGGGCTTAAAAACTTTGAGTTTTAACAATAAGGACAAAATAAAGGGTAAAGTGAATAGTAACAGGTTTGACTTTTTAGTGTAAAAATGTGGTTTTTCGTTTAAGTGAACAGTACCGTGAGCTTTTCGTTAAAACTCCCTTTTTTCTATTGTAGTAAGAGCATTTTAGAATCTAATAAAATGTTAATGGTTTCGGTGATTATATTATCATACCTATATGCTGTATAGTATGTAAGGATAAACTAATGCCTTTGATTGCATCATTGGTTATATGATATTTACTTAGCTGTAGAATGGAACTGTTAAGTCTGTTCTGATTTCAGCTAAGAAACTGTTATGATATGATTTACTGGCAGGTTTCTCAACAAAGCCTTGCTTGCACCGGATGATTTGAAGGAAAACAGAAAGGTGTGTACCATCGTTGACGTTGAAGACGCAAAGGCTGTTCTTAGGCTTTTTCCAATATGGGTTACATGCTTGGCATATGCGGTTGTGTTTGCACAGTACTCCACTTTCTTCACCAAGCAAGGTGCCACCATGGATAGAACCATTGTGCCTGGCTTCAATGTACCAGCCGCTTCACTTCAGACTTTCATCAGCATTGCCATTGTCATCTTCCTTCCCATTTATGATCGCATTTTTGTTCCAATTGCTAGATATGTCACGGGGAAACCCGCTGGAATTACAATGCTGCAAAGAATTGGAACGGGGATGGTCTTATCTATTATTTTGATGGTAATTGCAGCTCTAGTTGAGATGAAGAGGCTCAAAACTGCCAAAGATTATGGCCTGCTTGATACGCCGAGTGCCACGGTTCCAATGAGCATCTGGTGGTTGGCTCCTCAGTACTTATTGGCCGGAATAGCTGATGGTTTCACAATGGTCGGTCTGCAAGAGTTTTTTTATGATCAGGTGCCAAATGAACTAAGGAGTGTAGGACTCGCCCTCTATCTCAGCATCTTCGGCGTGGGAAGCTTCCTAAGTAGCTTTCTTATTTCCATCATCGATGACATAACCAGTTTAGCAGGCGAAAGCAGCTGGTTTTCGAGTAATCTTAACCGTGCACATCTTGATTACTTCTATTGGCTGCTTGGTGGAATCAGTTTGGTACAATTGGTTATCTACCTATACTTTGCAAAATCGTACATTTATAAATCCCACGCCTTGTAACTTATTATTTGAGCACAGTGATCTACGCATCACCGCCGTTGGTTGTAAATCAGAAATGTGAATCTGTATGATTGGAAATCTACCGTGTATAATTTATTCCAGAGTTATCTAGATGGAATCTAGTGATAAATTGCATACGCATTACTTCTTTTAAAAATCCCAAGATTTCGAATTTTGAATGCTTGTATTTGTATATACTAGTTCCTAAATAGTTCCAAGTGTCACGCATTAAAGATATGTTAATACTAATCGTACTTTTTATGCTCGATGGCAAGGATAATCGATTTCAGTGGAAACTGGCTAAAATGATGAAAAACTAAGTAATGATTGTCATACTGATCAGATGTCCTTGTAAACGTCTCATATTACCCTTATAGATATACCGGTTACCATATAGACCCCATCAATTTTTTAATTTGGTTAGTTCAGTACTTGGATTTGTAGAACCATTACAACAGTCAATTTCTCTTATACGAGGGACATTGACCTTGACTGTATACATGCAATTCTTGGATGGAGTTTTACATAGGGTAGTGGCCCTCTTGTCGGATCGAATGAATTGAAAAAGATAAATGACCAAAAATTAATAAAGGGGTGTGGAGATACAAATGAGTGTGCAATATCCTTTTATATATAGTGCTAAGTCAACCCACTCGCATTGAGTGAATCACTAATTTTGACCTACTAATCCAAGCAAACCCTCCACTCTCCTGTGTCGAATGACCAGTCACTCGGCACAAGAAAGTTAAGCCCACCAACCTCTAATGGGTGCGAAGGCTTGGACAGTTAAACCCACAATATCTTTCTCAGAGAACATGGACTTAATGGTTGAAGCCCAATCAAGAGTACAAAGGAAAGCGTCATTAGCCCAAATCCATCAACTATTTGAGGTATTAGACCATCTCCAAATGAATTGTTAAATTTTAATAGTCAAATTAAAATTGATGGATGATGTGGCAATCTGAAATCTTATGTCAAGTTTTATACTTATTTTCTTCCTAAAATTGAGCTTTAAATGGTTGTATTTATCACAAAAAAATAGAGCTTTAAATCGTCAAAGACTCACCCTCACTACGCCACAGGCGAGTCATGGATGAGAGCTCTTGTTAAGCGTATTCAGAGTACCTATGTTTTCATCCATCATTGAGTCTCAACGACGACCTATGAAGATTACGCCATATGTATCAACCATACCAAGAAATGATACATTATCGAAGTCAACGCCAAGCAATATTGCGTCTACATCACATCAGCAGCATCAGGATCAAGAGAATGAAGTCAAGCAATCTGATCCCAGACAACCTTGCCGATCTCTTCACGACATCATTGTCGAAGTCTAACTTCCAAAAGCTTTGTTCGGGAATTGGTATGTGTAACTAACTCATATGCAATGCTTGTAGTTCTCATTTGGAAGTTTTATCGAACTTAGGGGGAGTATCTACTCACTTGATCTTAGTTACTTTTTTATCTATAATTAGGAACATTTTTCTTGCTGGGTTTTTGCTACTTAACTAGGAGGCATCCATTTTGGGTTGATCATACCCTTGTGAGTTTTCTAATTTGTGTCCAAAAGATGTATAGTTTTGACTTAATGCAAAACTTCTCATGTTTCTCCTTAGACAATGTTTTTTTTTTTCTCTCATACTTAGTTTTTACCATAGCAAGATTTTGTGAGTTTTATCTTTTTATGCAATCCTCCGTTGATTTGGGAATCGCATTTGCTCATCGTATCAACGACTTCATCAACTGAACTTACTTCATCACTAAAGACTTTATGCATCATTTACTTGAGTATTTAAACACTCAAAAGGGAGTGTTACAGCCCTAATTTAGTTAGGAATGTGATTGTGTAAATCCTAGTAAATCCTATTGGGATTCTACCATATCTTTTAGATAGTTTTTTTTTATTGTATTGTAATACCTAAAGGCTAAAGAATTTAGCTTTCCTAATACTATGTTCGCCGCACCTCTTCATCCCCTTATAATTCGCTAGTTAAATACACCCTACAACAACCAAAAACATTTTTTATCATTTTAAAAACATTTTCAAACAAGCCTAAATCGAATACATTAGGCATATTTGTCTATTTGCCTCCTGAACTTGTATGAAGCTGTCAATTTCCTCTCTAAACTTTAATTTTAGCCGATTACCTTCTTGAACTTTTATAATTAACCAATTTCTCCTTTTAGCTTTAATTTTAGCCGATTATCCAAATATCCAATTTCCCCCTCGCATTAGATTTTAAAAAAATTCATTCAATTTTTCATCTATCTTGATCACGGAAACAACATATGACAAATGTATGAGGGCAAAAAGGATGAAAATTTGAAGGGATAAAAAATTGAATGAAAGTTTTTAAAATCTCACACCAGGAAAAAATTGGCTATATAAAATTAAAATTTAAAGAGAAATTGACTAATTATAGAAGTTTAATAAGGTAATGGCTAAAATTAAAATTAATAAAAAATAGCAAAGACAGACAAAATCGTGAGACAAATCAACAAATACCTCAAGCGTTATTTACAAATAACAAATCAAAGAATAAGCTCGTGCTAAAGAAGAACGAGTATTATTCTTAATATTTTAAATTTCTTTTGTCCGTTTGTTTTTTTATAATCATCCAAACAAAAACGATGACGTCAGATGGATAGAAACGACAAACATCCCATCACATTATTGCTTACTAGTATTTGTCTATATATTTTGTGTGTATGAATACATTTTATTAGAAAATAAGAAGGAAAAAGGGAGAGAAAGAGAACGTGGAGGAGGGAGTGAGAGATTTTTGTTTTTTTTTTAATATTAAAGGTATTTTAACATCATCTAAGATTTTAATAAAAAATAGTAAAATTTAAACTTATAAAATTACATTATTGTTCATCATTTTTTTTTATAAAAAACTAAGTAATCTTATTATTTTTTTTATTGACAAAAAAAGTTTCATTAATTAATAGGGATTAACATCGTATTAGTTGCTCATTCAAGTCGACATTTCCAGTGAAACTCAATGGCAACTTCTACCCGCCAATCCCCGGACCGGGACACCCAAACCCCCCTGCTAGACGACGGCGTCGAGGGCACCGTTGACCACAAAGGCCTCCCCGTTCACAGATCGAGATCAGGCGGCTGGCGTTCTGCTCGGTTCATAATCGGTAAGCCCGCAACTCACCGCACTGAACCAATCAATCAGATATTAGTTAAATTAATTGCTCTGATTAATAATAATTAAAAAATTGTAATTAAACAAGTGTGGTGAAGTTTTGATTTGAATATTTTCAGGGGTGGAGCTGGCGGAGAGGTTTGCCTACTATGGAATCAGCTCCAACCTCATCACGTTTCTGACGGGGCCTTTGGGGCAGTCCACCGTCACAGCGGCTGAGAACGTCAACATATGGTCCGGAACGGCGTCGTTGCTCCCTTTACTCGGAGCCTTTGTCGCTGATTCTTTCCTTGGGCGCTACCGCACTATTGTTTTTGCTTCCCTACTCTACATTTTGGTACGTCTCCCTCTCTCTACAATTTTGGCACGTGACTATGTTGTTGGAGTTTTTAGCTCCTTTAAGTCCCACATCGGGGAACTCAAGGAAACTTGAGGTTCTTGTATTACGTTAGTCTCCTTTATTATGTTATGAATTAGTCACTTAGCTTATAAACTTAGTGATTAGCTTAATGGCTGTTTAGTTTTAAGATTTAATAGCTTAATTAGTCTATTAAGTGATTGTAATTGTCATCTGGCAACTTAGTGGTTGCAAAAGTTGTATAAGACCCAACGCAATTATCCGTGGGAAAGGCATTTAATGAATTAAGAAAATACTCTCCAAAAAATATATACTCTCTCTCTCTCTGCTTCTCATTCCTTCGTCTCCACACCATTGTTACTACAGTGCGACTTGCAAGTCTGAGATAGGGTCAGAGTGTTGATCTTATCATATTAGTGGTTACGTGTTGGACCATTTGGAATGAGGATTGAGGCTTTGGCCACTAATTGTGTCGATATTTATTTCTGAATTGTTTTCCAACATAAGTTGCCTTAATCCGCATTATTTGGAAATATTTTGGGAAATTGGATGAATGCTAGGTTTTGCAAATGACAATTGCTAAACTGATCGAAATCAAATATCGACATACATTATTCTTAAAATTCCGTAAAGTGATCATTCAGTAATTAGGGTTTGTAATTTAGTAAGTTACAAAAACTCTTCTGATTAAAGGGTGAATTCATTAGCACCAAACAAATCATTAATTAATTTCAACAAATAGAGATGTACAAAATCAACTTCCAAGCGAATTGAATGATGGTATGAGATAGCCATCCAGAACTGGAGTTGGAATCACATTGTCTGCCGTTGTTGTATTCTTCGTAGTACACATCCCACACGCATCTAATCCATCTTTCATACAACTTGTACCCATTTTAGACATTTATTAGGGAAATGAAGCTCAAATAGGAGGAGACGTGGAGGCGATGTAGCCTTGGCTTCGGGGAGGGAAGTGGCCGGTGAATGTCTGGGCCTCTGTTTGTGTTCTTGGTGAGATAGAAGATGGATGTTTGGATATCGGTTAAGTCGAGATTTTACCAAATAGTAGGTGCAGTAAATCCTTACAAGGCCGCAAGTTTTAGTTTTCTTGCTCCATGTAGGAAGTAAGTGTATGATGTAGGATAAGAAGGGGGCATTTATCTATGATCCATGTATCACATTTGTGTAGCATACATGCATTTATGTGCCATCTATCAATATAAGGGTGGCTTGTACCATTAGGCCATCTCCAACCGAAGGGTCCTGAGGGCCAGAGGGCCGAAAATAGCCTGAAAACCGTCTCCAACCGAGGGCTAGGCCAGAGGGCTAGAGGGCTGGCTTTGTTATTTCTGTCGGTTATAGCCGACAGAAATAATATATACTATATTATTAGTGTCGGTTATAACCGACACTAATAGCAATGTTAGTGTAATATCATTTTGAACAGTGTCGGTTAAAACTGACACTAATTTGAATTCTAATTTGAATTCCAACGGCTAGCCAATCACTAGCCGTTGTATTTCAAACCTTTTTTTTTTTTATGAATTTAAACCTTTTTGTTTCTATAACTTCCTATAACTTTTTTTCTATAACTTATATTTTACAAAATTTGGTTCATATTTTTTTAAATTTCATTTTTTTCCTATAACTTCTATTTCACAAAATTTGTTTCATATTTTTTTTAAATTCCATTTTTTTCCTATAACTTCTATTTCACAAAATTTGTTTCATATTCCATTTTTTTCCTATAACTTCTATTTCACAAAATTTATTTCATTTTTTTTTAAATTCCATTTTTTTTCCTATAACTTCTATTTCACAAAATTTATTTCATATTTTTTTTAAATTCCAATTTTTTTTCCTATAACTTCTATTTCACAAAATTTATTTCATATTTTTTTTAAATTCCATTTTTTTCCTATAACTTCTATTTCACAAAATTTGTTTCATATTCCATTTTTTTCCTATAACTTCTATTTCACAAAATTTATTTCATATTTTTTTTAAATTCCATTTTTTTCCTATAACTTCTATTTCACAAAATTTATTTCATTTTTTTTTAAATTCCATTTTACTTCTTATAACTTCTATTTCACAAAATTTGTTTCATATTTTTTTTTAAATTCCATTTTTTTTCCTATAACTTTTATTTCACAAAATTTGTTTCATATTTTTTTTTTAAATTCTATTTTTTTTCCTATTACTTCCTAAGCCATTATACAACATTAACTTAAATTAAGTAACATGAAACAACATTAAACAATATGAAACAACATTAAATAACATTAACCAACATAAAAATTATACAACATGAAACTTAAACAACATTTTAAAAAACATTTAAAAACATAAAACGTAAATGCCGACTCCATGCTTCTTTGGGCCCAAAGATGTGCAACAAGATCTTGTTATAGGTACTTGTTTGTGGCACGAGAACGTATCATTCTATAGCGTCTCATGTACTCATCTATAGAGATACTACCAGTTCTTGGATTGAAAGGCAAATTAGGCTCGTCATATATTTTTGAACGAGCCCTTCTTGACCTATTTGGATCTTCTTGGTCGTCATCGGACTCTTCATCAATATACCCATCTCGCTCATCCTCCACTATCATATTGTGTAATATGATGCAAGACATCATGATGGAGTCCAAATTTTCTCGACTCCACCCTCTTGTCGGTTCGCTGATGATCTTCCACCGTGCTTGTAGAATACCAAAAGCTCTCTCAACATCTTTCTGATATGCCTCTTGGTGTAAGTTAAACAACTTTTCCGCGTCATTCCTAGGGTTTGGAATTGCTTGGACAAGTGTCGCCCACTTTGGGTAGATGCCATCTGCCAAGTAATACCTCATATTGTATTGACGGCCGTTGATGTAGTAATCAAGTTGAGGTGCTTTACCTTCTGTCAAGTTATTGAAGAGGGGTGAACGCCCAAGAACTGTAATGTCATTTTGGGATCCAGAGACTCCAAAGAAAGCATGTCATATCCATGTGTCATATGAGGCAACCGCCTCTAACACAACAGTTGGAATTCATTGCAAACTTGAATTGAAAGAGATTGAATTCAAAGAGATTGAATTTAAATAGATTGAATTCAAAGTTATGTGAATTATATCCCAATATCCACCCTATTTATAGCAAAAAAAAATTCAAATCCAATGGCTAGCTGACGTAAGCATGATGTCAGCTACCAACGGCTAGCTGACATCACTTAGCCGTTGGATTTGAATTTAAGTTGTAGTTTTTAAATAATAAATTATGTTTGGCCCTATGGCCCTTTAGCCCTCGGTTGGAGACGGTTTTTTGTGAAAGGGCTAAAACGAGCCATCTGGCCCTCGGTTGGAGATAGAGGCAAATATGACCATGTACTGTTCATTAAAATATTAATATCTTGGAGAGCCTTGGAGGGCCAGATGTCTAAAACGAGCCCTCTAGCCAGCCATCGGTTGGAGATTGCCTTAGTTTCTCAGTTATCATCTATTATCTCCGTCAAAACTTATGTTACATCACGTGACGTGTAAAATGTAGTAAAATGTAGGGCCCATTAATTGAATGTGTTAGCGATGTCATTGCCACATATAAAAATATAATATTTTTAACACTAAAAATCAATTTAGAAAGGAAAAAAAAAACTAAAAACTGAGAGAAAACTCTCACCACCTGCTCCCCATCATGCCATCACTACCAAAACCCCCACAAACTCCACTCCTACCATCAAATTTGCTTATTTCATATCAATTTTGTAACTCCATCACCATCACCACCTACCTTGCTCTGCATAACCATCGCTAGCAACATCACCGCTATAACCCAACCACATCAAATACCCCAACTTATGAATTCAAGGTAGAGGGGTTGCCTAATTCACCAGTCTTTCCTCCGAACTCATCGAGTGTAGGGTAACTCTCCTGACTGAAGCTGGCGTAAGTCCCTCCAAAGAGGGTAATAGTTCACGAGCCCTAAAAAAGATCTTTGCTCACTCACCTTGGTAGGTAATTGTTCTTATTGTTTGACTTGTTTCTATTTTTTCTTTCAAATGTAAAATATTAAATACTTTTAATGAAAGTTGTAAATGTGGCGATGACATAGCCAACACGTCAGCTAATTAATGGGCCCCAAATTTGCCACATCACGTGATTTAACATAATTGAGTAAATTGTAGCAATAGTCCCTCAACTTTAATCAAATTGGAGCAATGGTCCCTCAACTAAAAATCCATTACTATTGGTCCCTCAACTTATCAAAATGTGTAGCTATAGTCCTTTTCATCAATTTGGTCAAAATTTGGTCAAAATAAGTTATGTTGGAATAACCAATTATATAATTAGGTTCCCTCAACTCATCAAAGTGTGTAATTATGGTCCTTTTTGTCAACTACGTCAAAAATTTTGTCAAAACGAGTTATGTTGAAAGGACCATTGCTACAATTGGGTTAAAGTTAAGGGACCATTTCTCCAGTTGAATTAAAGTTGAGGGACCAATGATAATGAATTTTTAGTTGAGGGACCATAGTTGCACGTTTTGATGAGTTGAGGGACCAATGGTAATAGATTTTTAGTTGAGGGACCATTGCTCCAATTGAGTTAAAGTTAAGGGACTATAACTACAATTTACTCTAACAAAAATTTTTATGAAGATAACAGAATGGGGCAAAGTGAGAAGCAAAGACAACTGTCAGAGGGTTAAGTGATACATTTTGAGTTACAAGGGGCCAAGTAAGACTAAAGTTGAGTTTCAGGGGGCGTTGGTGTAAATAAGCCTATTTTTAAAGCGTCCGTTGCTAACTTATGTGTCACTTTTATGCTACCGTAGAAGTCAAAATATAAACTAAAATGTGTGTGTGTTATTTTTAAAATGATGATGAAATTTTGACATAATCAAAATCCAACATATTACAAAACTAAATGAACCAAAAAAAAGTTCATATGCATCAATTCAAATGAAAGACAACTTTCAGGGGGTTAAGTGATACGTTTTGAGTTTCAGCCGGTTCTCACTTTTTTTGTCCTGGCTGGCTTACAGGGGTGTCATTTCTAAATAGAGCATATAGAACTTAGAAAAATAAAATTAAGAAAATTCCATCAGATTAATTGATATTTTACTTTTCCTTATGATAGACGGAGTTACTAAGAAATGAATGGTTATTCTTCAGATATAATTAGGGGTGTAAGTTTGATTATTTTCTTTCTACATCTTGCTATGTCAGAATGCTATAAATTTTGGACCTAAATTGAAACAGGGACTTGGCTTGTTGACCCTGTCAGCCGTGCTTTCTTCTTCTGAGATCCAAGTAATATTCTTCTTCTTCCCCCTATATCTAGTAGCTGTTGCACAAGGAGGACACAAGCCTTGCGTTCAGGCATTTGGAGCTGATCAGTTTGATGTGTCAGATCCAGAGGAGTGCAAAGCCAGAAGCTCATTCTTCAATTGGTGGTTTTTTGGGTTAATTGCAGGTACCTCATTGACGTATATCCTATTGACATACATACAGGAAAACCTGAGTTGGGGTCTAGGTTTCGGAATTCCTTGTATTGCAATGGTCTTTGCACTACTACTTTTCTTGCTCGGAACTAGAACTTATCGGTATAGCATTAAAGGGGATGAAGAAAGCCCATTTGTAAGAATTGGAAATGTGTTTGTTGCTGCTTTAAGGAACTGGCGAACTACTCCTGCAGCAGTAACTTCTGAAGAGGAATCTCGCGGAACCTTGCCTCACGAGAGTTCTGAACAATTCACGTAAGAAAGTTAACTGTCCGCATATTTTTAGTTTAAAAAGGGGGGAGAAACTGGCAATGAGAAAGTTTGATAATTATTTTAGATTAAAAAGGAGGGAGAAACTGTCTTCATGACTCTTTCAGTAACCTGTCCTGCGAAAGCAATTCATGAACGACTAGTATTCGTATATTGTTAAAATCTCTTGCATAGCCACTTAAGTCTATCAATTTTAACTTCTGTTAACTTTAACTGTTGGAATAAATTTGAGTATAAAAGAGTGGTATTTGCAGCACCTTTCTTTCTTTTGTACTAGCATTTTAGAATCTGTCACAAAATGTTAACAGTTTCGGTTAAATTATCATTACCTGTTCTGTATAGTGTGTACTTAGGTGGTTGAGGCTGAATTATTGCCTTTGATTGCATCATCGGTTATACGATATTTACTCTGGTTTCAGCTAAGAAAGTGCTATGTATGATTTCCTGGCAGGTTTCTCAATAAGGCTTTGCTTGCACCAGACGATCTGAAAGAAAACAGAAGGGTGTGTACCATCGTTGACGTTGAAGAAGCAAAGGCTGTTCTTAGGCTTTTTCCAATATGGGCTACATGCTTGGCATATGCAGTTGTGTTTGCACAGTGCTCTACTTTCTTCACCAAGCAAGGTGCCACCATGGATAGAACGGTTGTGCCTGGCTTCGATGTACCAGCCGCTTCACTTCAGATTTTGTCCAGCATTGCCATTATCATCAGCCTTCCCATTTATGATCGCATTTTTGTTCCAGTTGCTAGATCTTTCACCAGGATACCTTCTGGAATTTCAATGCTGCAAAGAATTGGAACAGGGATGTTCATGTCTCTTATTTCCATGGTAATTGCAGCTCTAGTTGAGATGAAAAGGCTCAAAACTGCCAAAGATTATGGTCTGCTTGATACGCCAAATGCCACGGTTCCAATGAGCATCTGGTGGTTGGTTCCTCAGTACTTGTTGACAGGAATATCTGATGTTTTCACGATGGTCGGTCTGCAAGAGTTGTTTTATGATCAGGTGCCAAATGAACTAAGGAGTGTTGGACTTGCCCTCTATCTCAGCATCTTCGGCGTGGGAAGCTTCATTAGTAGCTTTCTTATTTCCGTCATTGACGATATAACCAGTCTACCAGGCGTAAGTAGCTGGTTTTCGGATAATCTTAACCGTGCACATCTCGATTACTTCTATTGGCTGCTTGGTGGAATCAGTTTGGTACAATTGGTTGTCTACCTCTACATTGCAAAATCTTACATTTATAAATCCCATGATCTGTGAGATCCCAAGAGTTTTGAATTCTTGTATTTGTAAATACTAGTTCCCAAATAGTTCCTAGTGTTACGCATTAATGATATAATACTAATCGTACTTTTTATGGGCAATGACGAGGATAATCGATCGTTTGGGAAATTGGCTAAAATGATGAAAAACTAAATTGTGATTGCCTTGTCATATTGAGGATCGGATGCTCTTGTAGACTTCTCCCTTCTATACACTGGTTGTACCCGTATAGACCCGTTATAATTTTAAATTGGTTAGTTCAGTACTTTGGGTATGTAGAACTGTCGGAACCAGTCTTGCTCTCCTAAGGTCTTTATTTTGAGGACCAAATGTTATTCATACCATATTTTTGTACCACATTTTCATACCACCTTAGGTGGCATTTGATGTAGACATTCACATTATTTGAATTAATTAGATTTTTAAATTTAGTTCATTATTTAATAAACTAATAATTAAGAAAAACTAGTTAATTAAATGATGATTGTGGTATACGAGGAGTCTTTCTCCTTCTTTTCCATGTGTTTTTGGCTAATTTTTCAAATGATGTGGCTGTTTGTGTGACGTACTTCTAATTCTTAAGTGGAATTTTAGGTCAATAAGAAATAGACCACATTACTTAATATTACGGTTTAATAATTTTTTTATATTAATAAGTGAGAATTTTAAATTTGAATCACGTAAATAACAAGTTTGATACTAGCTTATTCCACCAACTTCTTAGTGTAAATATATTTTATATAAAAATACTAATAATAAGGAATGGATCACAAATTATGATAACGTGTAATATCCCACATCGACCAATAGAGATGGTGTGATGTGCCTTATATGTACACGCCCACCTCCATATAGCACGAGATATTTTGAGAACTTACTGGTTTCGGATTCCATCGGAACTTTGAAGTTAAGCAAGTTCGGGCGAGAGCAATCCTAGGATGGGTGACCTATTGGGAAGTTATCATTTGAATTTCCAGAAACAAATCCATAAGGGAATGCTAAGCCCAAAGCGGACAATATCGTACCACAGCGGAGTCGAGACTGGGATGTAACAAAATGGTATCAAAACCACTCTGCCGTTTGGTACGAGTGTGCCGACGAGGACGTCGAACTACTAATGGGGTGAATTGTAACTTCTCACATTGACCAACGGAGAGGAGGTAATGTGCCTTATATGTACATGCCAACCTCCATATAGCACGAGGCCTTTTGGGAACTTACTGACTTCCGATTTCATCGGAACTCCGAAGTTAAGCAAGTTCGGGCGAGAGCAATCCTAGAATGGGTGATCCACTAGGAAGTTCTCGTCTGAGTTCCCAAAAATAAATCTGTGAGGGAATGGTAAGCCCAAAGCGGACAATACCGTGTTACAACGGAGTCGAGACTGAGATGTGACGTAACAGTCATTTACATATGTACCAGACGAGCATTACAAAGACATGGGAGATATATGCAAATGACTGGCAATCACTTTTACATACTTTCATAATGATTAGGGCCGGTTCGATATGGGATACCGAACCGAAAATGACATACCAAATCCCAAATCGAAAATTTTCGGGACAAGAATCCAACGACCGATCCCGAATTGAAATTTCAGGATTCCTGCATTTCGGTATTTCGAGATTTCCCGAAACCGAACTTGCATCAAAATCCAAATCATTTATATTGAGATTGAAATCATCTGAACCTACATTAAAACCCCAAATTGAAATCAGAGAGAGTGACAGTGAATCGGTGGTCGAGAAAGAGAGAGAAACAAAGTGAAAAGATAGTCAAACAGACCTGCGTCCTCCTCTTGACCCGAGCCCCCAATTCGAAACCCTAACCTTAATTCGAAATTCTAACCTTAATTCGAAACCCCACACACATAGAGACTAGAGAGAATCGATGGTGGGGGATGAAATTGTGAAGTGTGGTGGTGGCCGGAGTTGAGAGAGTTCATCAAAGTCAGATTGTGAGAAGGTAGGTGGTTGTTAAGCTTCGAATTCGAGAAGGAGAGACAAAGAGAGTCTGAGACTAAGTGAACTTACGGCTTGAAGGTTTGAGTCTTTCAAACAAAGCCAAACTCTTGGTGATGATCGATGATGTTATCACCTGAGCTGCTACCATTCCTACTGCGTGTTTTTCAGTGAGGGATGAGAAGTTAAGAAAGAGAGATAAATATCAAGGAGGTCAATTGAGAGAGAGATGTGAGTCACTTGTGTGATGTGGTCGGATTCGAATACGGCAAATAAGGAGGAAGAGAGAAGTCAAGAGAAATCGACGCGGATGAGAGAGTAGGGTAAGGTGAGGTCAATAAAAAGAGTGACTGAGTGAGAGTTTTATTTGGAGTTAACGATTGAGATTAAATCCTTAAATCCTAAACCCCTAAACCCTTAAATCTCAACCAAATCCAACAGCTATTACAATTCCAAATATATATTTAAAATTAAATAATTTTTTTTTTATTTTGGTTCAGCTAGGGATTATCGAACAAATGAAAATGTGAGACCATTTCCCGTACCAAAATTTCGGGATCAGTTCGGGATTGGGTACCGAAATTTTCGGGATTTTTTTTGAGATTTTTTTGGTTCGCTTTCGAAATTTTTTCGATTCGGTTTGGAATTTTCGGTATTTTTTTCCACCCCTAATAATGATCATGTAATATGTTTTTAATTTCTTATGCATATTTAATATTAGGGTAAATATCAATTAACTACCCTTAAGTTTTGTGGTTTTCAACATTTAGTACATTAAGTTTTTTTTATCCCAGAGTCATACTTAAAGTGTTAATTTTGGGACAATCTCGTACATCTGTTAGTCTGGCTGCTAAATCTTCCGTTAATTGATGACATGACGTCCATGTGGACAATGACTGAACTCCACGTGTCATTAAGGGATCCACATGGAAATTCAAAATTCAAAAAAAAAAATTCCTATCCAAATTTAAAATATTAAAATAATTATTTATAAAAAATAAAAAAATAAAAAACCCCTTCTTGTCACATCCCAGTCTTGACTCCGCCGTAGCATGATATTGTCCGCTATGGGCTTACCATTCCCTCACAGTTTTGTTTCTGAGAACTCACGAGCAACTTCCCAATAGGTCACCCATCCTAAGATTGCTCTCGCCCAAACTCGTTTAACTTCGGGGTTCCAATGGTATCCAAAGCCAGTGAGTTCCCAAAAAGCCCCGTGCTATATAGAGGTGGGCATGTATATATAAGGCACATCACCCCCTCTCCGTTAGTCGATGTGAGATGTTACAATCCACCCTCCTTAGGGGCCCGACGTCCCCATCGGCACACTCGCACCACACGGTAGAGTGGCTTTAATACCATTCTATCACATCCTAGTCTCGACTCCGCCGTAGCACGATATTGTCCGCTTTTGGCTTACCATTCCCTCATGGTTTTTTATTTGGGAACTCACGAGCAACTTTCCAATGGATCACCCATCCTAAGATTGATTTCGCCTAAACTTGCTTAACTTCGGAGTTTTTATGGTATCTAAAGCCAGTGAGTTCCCAAAAGACCTCGTGTTATATGGAGGTGGGCGTGTACATATAAGGCACATCATCCCCTATTCGTTGGTCGATGTGAGATGTTACACTTCTTCTTCCCCACCCGACACCCCTCCATCCTTTCCACCCCATCCACCCCTTGCCTACCCGAGCCACTCCTTCTCACGTCACCAAACCCCTTCATACCAACCCTTTCCCCCAATTTTTCCCCCAGACCATCACCTCATCCTCTCTTCCATCTGCAACATCTCTTCCGTCGGCAGAACCCCAAACCCTAAAAAATTCAATCTCAGGCTTCTCTCCAAAACTGTTAACTTCATATGTGTTTCCTTCCACCAAGAAGCAAGCGTGAGAGGTTTAGTTAGCTGAACAAATGTTGTCGCGATTACTTCCTTTCATGGCGGTTTCTTTCTCATGGGGGTGGTCGGGCCTCTAGAACTTGCTCACCTCCGAAACTGCACCGTCTATCCATTCACTCTTTGTTTGCCCTAATAAAGCTAGCATAATCCCCTTATGTTCTTCCAGCCCTCAAATCTCCGTCGAACTCACCGACTCAATCCCCCAACTGTTGTCAAAACAAGTAACCATAATTTCCCTCTAATTTATTTTTCAATCTCGTTGTTTTTGCATAATCAAACCATTAATTTATCGTTTTTTTTTTCAACAGAAGATCGTATTTTGAATGTTTATTTTGGTTGCAGGGTCCTATTGAACCCGGACTGTATCTGGTCAGAACTCCGATCGGAAACCTCGAAGATAGCACTCTACAGTGCTTTCTCAATCTCTACATACAAAGTTACAAACGATGTATTTTTTTTCTTTTCATTTTTTTTAATTTGATATCGGACCAAATTTTGCCAATGCAGGGCTCTCCGGGTGTTAAAATCAGCTCATGTGATACCTTCTGAAGACACTCGGCATTCGGGGAGGTTGCTCCACCATTATAGCATCAAAACTTCCCTTGTAAGTGAATAGAGGTTATGATATTTTTTGGATTCTGAGTTGGTTAGTTTTTAGTTTTAGTCATTTTGATTTATGCTTTTAGATTACAGCTGAGCTATCACAAATTCAATGAAGCTTAAAAGGGGGAAACAATGTTGAAGCGGTGAAGGAAGGTGAAATTGTGGCGCTCATAAGCGATGTTGGAATGTCGGGCATCAGTGATCCTGGTACGGAATTGGTGAGGGTTTGGATTTTTCGGGTTGGAGAATCTGGGTTAGAAAGAAGCCTGGGATTGGATTTTTTGGGGTTTGGGGTTCTGCCGATGGAGGAGATGTTGCAGCGGGATGAGAGGAGGAGGTGATGGTCTAGGGGAAAAATTAGGGGACGAGGTTGGTGACGGGAGAATGGGTGGCTTGGGTGGGCAAGGGGTGGGGGTGGAAAGAATGGAGGGATGTCGGGTGGGGAAGACGAAGGGGGTTCTGGTTTTTTATTTTTTTTATTTTTTTTATTTTTTTATATTTTTTTATTTTTTTATTTTTTTATTTTTTTTTAATTATTTTAATATTTTAAATTTGGGTTTTTTTTGAGTTTTTAATTTCCACGTGGATCTCTTAATGACACATGGCGCCCAATCATTGTTCACATGAGTGCCACATCATCAGTTAACAGAAGATCTAACAGTCAGACTAACAGATGTATAAGACTGTCCCAAAATTAACACTTTAGGTATGACTCTGGGACGAAAAAAATTTCATGTACTAAATATTGAAAACCACAAAATTTGAAGGTAGTAAACTGATATTTACCTTTAATATTATGTCGTGTATTTATTCGCCACTTGGTCTAAATCCCTAGACTTCTTTGATTACATATTAAAATTGTGCTTCCACTTTTTTCTTTTGTGAAAATTGTCTTTCTAGCTACTTAGCATTTCAAAGTATACATTTATCTCCATACAAAAAAGTAGTTTAACTTAAGAGTAAGTCTACTCATTTTAGGAAAGCAATGGCAATAAAACTATCTTGTTATTCACTCTAAATGAGTGCTACTACATCTACCCCAATGTCTTATCTTTCCACCCCACTTTTTATTAAATTTTTAATGACTAATTTATCCTCTCATAAAATGACATATAAGGATAGTCAATGAAGAGCCGATCCCTCATCCTAGCGATTTAGCACACCGCTCGCATCATCGTTTTATAGTCTCCTCCGAGCCCTCTCAATCTTTTCCGAAACTTCAACCTCCAAAATGGAGAACACGATTAAGCATGCTATTGTGATCAAGGTTATGAGACAGACTGGATCGTGGAAAGGTGACACAAGTGAGGGTCATGATTCTGTTACTTTCTATCGATGAATAACGAGGAAAGAGAGGAAGGGGATGAGGCATTTGGAGGGAAGGCAATTATTGGGGATTGAGATGCCACTACTGCTTCCAGCCTGCCATTGCCAAACCCGCTAGCCAGGCACACGCAGAGTGTGCAAATTGCAATGGAAGTGCAGAGTATGCGTATGATTGTATCAAGTGACTGACGAGCTCGGCATTTTCCTTTCTATTTTGTTTCAAAATTGTTAAACAAGAGTCCCAGGTCAATTAGAAGTATATTGTAATATGTTAAATGATGTGATAATTGTAATCTTGTGTATTCGATATAGATGTCGATATAGATGGGAAGTTGGGAACTCAATATCCCAGTACGACTCTTGCAACTCAACCTAATTATTTATGCAGATGAATGCAGCAATGGAAGCCAACGCTTCCATCATATTTGGAAATATTATTCAAACAATTGAAAATAGAATGGAGAACGTGTTACATGAGAAGGAAATCAAGCATTGATATGATAGGATCTGGGCTTTAAGCGGCCAGTAATGATTGGAATAGGAGGCCAATGAGCAGGGTGTTGGGGGTAAGGGTGCTTTGGGAATAACGGTGGGTGGGAAAATAGTATGGGTTTCTTTTTACTTTTTATGGTGAGTGGGAAGATAAGACACGGGGTAGGTATATCAACACTCATCTAAATAGTATCTGTCTTTTTGAAAGACCACCCATTTAGTAAGAAGAAGAGAAAGGGCAATGGCAATTACTACAAATACATTTTTTTAATGTGTTTTTTGCTTTATCTTCCATATGTCATTATCTCCTTATGTTCTCGATGAGATTTCAACCACTTTTGTCGCGCCATGTGTCATTATCCATTAGTAATATCCGCTAATATTTTTGTTAAAATTCTCGAACTTTGTAAGTTTGTTTAAATGTGAACTTTGTAAGATTGTGCGAATCTAACTTTTTAAGTTTTTTTAAGTGTGAACTTTGTGAGTTTTTTAAATTTTTTATATAAATTTTTAGATTTTTTACTGTTGAATTTTTCAATTTTTTTAATCAGATACGTCACATGGCACATCAGCATCATTTTCAAATATTTTTTTTTTACCTTTGGAAATCCAACGGTCCTAATCAACAAACCGTTGAAAATCCAACGACTGTAACACACCCAAATAGGAGCCGTCTGGCTCAATCCAGTCTTCAGTGCACGTGGGTGGGGTGGGCTTTCTACTACTTGACATCAGGCCCAACGTCACCTATTGCGAGCAGGCTCAAGGCCCTGCAATTGTTGCGAGGGCCAGTCCAACAGGCTTCTGGAGCCCATCAATTGCAATTAGGGTACCGTTGGACTTACCTTAATAAACAAATTTAAAGTTATTTTGTGGACAAAAGAAAAAACAAATAGTTTAAATTTTTAGACTTCAAATGGGAAAGAAAGAGACAGCAAAGAAGAACAGGCCAGCAACTGAGAGATTTTTCAATGTGATCGATACACGGAGTGGTATATCACGTGTCATTATACAAATAGTAAGATGTGTGCTAAAAAGTTAATAACTTAAAAAATAAAATTTCTCATAACTCCTATTAAAACACGTAATGTACCACTTATATTTTCATCTCAACTAAAAATTTCTTCGTCCAACAGCTTTGGCTTGCTTTAGGAAGCAAGATCGATAGACAGTGGTCCCACTGGGGTCCTTAAAAAGACAAAAATGGCCCCTCCTCTACCTGGCACTGCCACTGGCGGCAGCAGGCGTTACAATGTTTTTCTGTTCCGTTGCGGCCGGCTCGATGTTTGTCAAGGTTACTTTCATACCTGATAAGTGATACCCCATCCATTTTTCAAATAAATTTAAAAAAATATTAAAAATTAAAGAAAATCCTTCAGAAAAATAGGAATACAATGCATTGTTGTTGATCATATGACAGCCTGTTGTACCAACACCTACTAATAATGCGACACGTGTACTCAGATTTCGGTGTGGCCCTGGCCTTGGGTTCCGGGTGTGAATCCTCGTTGGCAGTCACTATTATTTTCTACAGGGAGTAAAATCTTTGGAGAGGAGGAGGGGATAATTTTAATTTTCAGTTCTTCAATTTAGAGAGGCCGGAGAGGAGAAGATTTATTTATATAAAATCGATGTTTAAGTTCCGGAATTTAGAAAAGTGAGAGTTTCGAACTCGGAATGCATAGATAAAATCCAATATGTTATCTGTAAGGATATCAGATTATATGCAAATGATAGAGTTAATGAGTTAAATAGTTAAATGTGAGGGTAGGGGATCGGGGGATTGAACCCTCACCAGGTTGTATAGGTATTATTGATTTATGTCAATGGCCTATCTACCAAAATATAAAGTGGTTTTGAACTCCCTAACAACTAGATTCAAATCTAAAATTTCTCACTTATAAAATAAAAATATCAGTACATCACAGTATTAAGCGGTGCGGTTATACGATATTATATTATTAGATAAAACACCATGGTAAACACATTTTGCGTAAGACATTCTCGAAGATGAGAAGGTGGAATGATGTTTTGAAAATGTTTTTTTGATGATGAATATCATAAAACGTGCTTAGCGGTTTCTGAAATTTCGTTTCAAGCGACTCCTCCTCCATCTCTAGGGGCTGTGCGGCCCACTGTTTTTGAAAATCGGACGGCTTTTGGGACTATTTAATTGGTGAAAAAGGAAAAGAAAGAAAATTGTGAGTAGATGAATTGACAGATATATCATTCGTGACAACCAATACCTCCAATCTTCTTATCTGTTTATTTGGGTTTATGTTTTTAAAGATTATTATTATTATTATGTTTTTTTTTTTTTGAAAAAGAAAAAAGCAAAACGACACTAGAATCAATAAGTCATCACTCTACCAAGTTTCTCCACAAATTCAGGATTAGAACTTCATCCTTGCACCCCAAGCATGTGCATTCACATCAATAAAAAAAGGATTTTTAAAATCAATATAAGTGGTTTTTAAAATTGTTCAACATTAATCATTTTGATTTTCTATGAAAAATATGCGTTAAATTGAAGAAACGGAGGTTGGTTTAATAAAAATGTCCTCATTTTAACGGAGATTTGTCCAGAATGACCAAAATGATTAATGTTGGACAATTTCAGGGATAACTTTTATCGATTTTAAATATCAGGGATCAAAGTGAAGAGTTGTGTCAACCTCAAAGATCATTTTAGCTAACAAACCCTAAAAAATTGAAAAAGAGAAAAGAAAAAGCAGCTCTTGCATGGTCATTTTCACCACAATCCTATGATGTTTTAATTTAAAAGAATCAGCTTTAATCTCACATTTTTGCAATGATTATATAGTGGTTTATAGTTTGTAGTTTTTGTTTTGAAAAAAGTCACGATTTATACGGTGTATTAATATGCGCATTTTATGCCATGCGTAATGGTAACCCCATGAAACATAGTGGCAGACTAACGGTTAAAGTAAAAAAAATCATCTTATCACTAAAAGAAAAAGTTTTTTCACCACCTAAAAATCTAAAGTAAAAAACGAAAAAAAGGCTGCACCTGGTTAAAGCTACCCACTCTTGTGGTGAATCTATAATCTTTTTCTTTTTTTTTTATGTATCAAGGGCTAACACATTGATTAAACCTCTAATCCTTAATTTGTGAAAGATAAAAAGTTTTTTGTGTCACTTAATACTAAGGTCTTATTAACTTGTACGTGAAAGATTTTATGTTCCGAACTCACCAAAAATGAATTTGAACTACATTATTATAGCTAGTTCATTGTCAGACTTAAATCAATCTCCCACCTCCCTTAGTGTAGCTAATATTGTTTGTGAATTTTTCTTCTTCACTTAATCAACAAAGTGAAAATACAAGAGTTGAAGTCTCAGTCGTGAGGGTAGAAATTATGCTTGTAGTAGAAAGAAGACAATTTATTTAGGCCAAATTTTTTTCGTGGTCCCTATGGTGACACGTCACTTTTGATGTAACCCTCGTGGTGAAAAAAACTTTTAATTAAATCCTCGTGGTGGGCCTTGTTAGCAATTGAGG